GTCTGATGTCATAATGTTTATTTTTATATTTTAAAATGCTCTCTTGACTGTATTTGCACAGGACTGTAGGAATGAATCCTGATGTTTCCAGATTTGGATGTTTCTTTGCTGTTGTGTTAGTACCTCATATAATTGGCGAGCTACTAACACTTGTTTTGCTTGGTGTGGTTCAAAACCCAAATGTAGTCAACAGTGGAGTGATGCTACTTAACGTAGCAGGAGTGCTAGTTGGAAGTGGGCTGGTAAGGTAAGGAAAAGTATTATTAAATAATTGTGGTTTTAATGATAAAATAATGTAACTATAGAATAGTCTCAAGAATCTCTGTTGCTAAAGGTGAGTCTATGAGGTGTTACACAAGAAGGTAACAACTAGATAAAGTGCACCTGTAATCTTTGGCAAGGCAACTATCTAATCACTGATCTTTTAAACCTTGTACTAAATACATGGGACACACTCAATCCCGACTTTTCCTACAGAACTGAAATAAGCCTAATGATAGTTAATGCCAAAGCCACTTCCTTACTGAAATGGCTACTTTCATAAAGTGATTCTCAAAAAAAAGTATCAGTCTGTGTCATATTTGACAGTGCTTTTTCTCCCGTAAACAGATTTCAGCTAAAGCTGGTTCTGCAAAGTAAAACTATGTTAACACCCTCTTCAGTGCCCTATTAGCCACTGCTAAATTTAGTGAAGGGTTGTAGTTTTGTTGTGAAAGTATTTCCCACCACCTTAGTTCAGTGCCTTACTGACCTCTTTGAGTGAGAATGTGTGGGTTTTTTTACGATGTTTTTTAGTACACACAGTGCTAATTAAGACTGTGAATCTCTTCATTAAAACAACAAGGAGTCCGGTGGCAGCTTGAAGACTAACAGATTTATTTGGGCATAAGCTTTCGGGTAAAAAACCTCACTTCACGAAAGCTTATGCCCAAATAAATCTGTTAGTCTTCAAGGTGGGTTGTTGTTTTTGTGGATACTGACTAACATGGCTACCCCCAATACTTAATCTCTTCATTGTCTGTGAAGAGAATCAATACTGCCAGTAGGTCTTGGATTGCTGGACATTTCTGCAGCATTTGCTGTGTTGGATCATAAGGAGTTGTTTGGAAACTTGGTATGAGAGACAGGGAGTGCACACACTTGCTGAGTACAGTTACACTGAGCTGATCACAGACTCTGTTTGGATTCACATTATTAATTCTTTGTTTTGCAAGTATCTTTGGTAGTCCTCCAGGGCTTAATATTCACTCTGTGCCTACTTTAGAGGAAATGAAGTGAATACACATGGTAGACTTTTGTTATGCAAATAACACTCAGCACTCCTAGTAGTTCTTCCATTGTCATTTTATTAGGTTTTTTGATGACACAGCAACATGAATATAAATAAGTTGTAAAATTAATTGCTACTATACTTAAACAATTCATTACTGCATATCCTGACACTGTTAATGATCAATGGTCTCCTTAATAGGTCCTTCAACATTTGTCACAAATACAGTTTGTACTTGAAAATTGTGCAGGCAAATTAAGGAGGCTCTCTAAAACGTGGTTGTAAGGTGCTGAAAGGAGCTGTGCAATTATAAGTTTGGGTAGTATTGGTTCTTGAAATAACAGAAGCCCAATTTAACTAGTTTTTGTTTGTTCAAGGCGCACAGAAGACATGCCTACACCTTTTAAAGTTCTAAGTTACCTTACGTTCCAAAAATACAGCAGTGAGGTTCTTGCAGTCAATGAATTTTATGGATTAAACTTCACATGTGGTAAGTATTCACTGAGCCCCCTGAAACCCGTTGTAAATCAATTTAATGAAATATATGTTTAAATTTATACACATGCTAACAAAGAGTACTTGCCATACCTTTCTAAGCACCCCATACAACTTACAAATACAACATAATTAATAACTAAGCATAACAATTCATTATAAGGCAATATAAAGCAGTAAAACTTTTATAACCCACTGCTAGCAAACCATGCCACTCAAAAGCTTGAATCTCCCTCTCCCTCCAACAGTTCCCCACTCTTCAACTTCCACCACTTCCTCACACCCACAGGCTGTTTTCTTCCCCATGCATTTTAAAAGATGAGCTTTGCAGCAGGCCTTGAAGGTCATAAGATTTGTGCTATTTTGTAGATCATGTAGAGGAACCAAATCCAAAGTTGGGAGCCTTTGGAGAGAATGCCCTGTCAGCCACGATTTCTTGTTTATATCTATGGGGCATCAGCTTGAGCACCTCTGCTGATTTCAAATGCAGTGTAAGGCACCATGAGAGAGGTATTTAAGTTAGGCAATAATCTGTTTAGGGTTTTATAGGAAGGACTATGGCTCATAGTTGAAAGTAACTCATGTCAAATTAATCACTAATTTTTGATAGTGATCCTTTTCAATTATGGATTTTTTCAGTATGTTCTTCAGGCAGCCTGGCTTCACTGCCCAGGCCTCAGATTCTGCAGCAGTACCACTTCCTCCCAAGGAAGGAAGGCACATCTAGCTTCAGCAACTTATCTCCTTAGACCTTGGTTATTGCACTATTATCTAGGCACCCAAGAGCATCAGCCTACACTTCTGGCTTCCCTTGCTTCCTGACTGCAAGTTATGGTTCCCCAAAGCACTGCTTCCTGGCTTCATAGAACAGTGGAGAGAGTATCACCCTTCAATTAATTCCCCCTTGTGGGGTAAGGTAGAGTGCAAGAGGCAAGTGCAGGCGGGTTCTGGCAGGAAATGAAGACAAAATAAAAGGCTGGGCACCTGGCTCTCGCAAAATGGTGAATTCTGTGCAAAAAATGTCAGCTTCTGCTATTGTGGAGTTCACTAGGCCCTGAGCAAAATTAGTGGGGCAACTCACACCTCCGAGCTATTGTTTTAGACTTGCAGCAAATTGAGGAAGAGAACAGTGCAGCAGTTTGCACAGTTCACATTTCCACTGTTATCTCCAACTAGACTCACTAGAAACAATTTTTGAAAACAAAATCTGAGATTCTGGAGCAGTGTTGTGACCGGAGTGTGTGATAGGATGTACAAACCCCACACTGGGCAACAAGGGGGTTGTACAAACCCCACACTTGCAGCAAATACTCCATCTGCTGGAGGAATGAAAAGATAGGAATAAGCTCACTGGGTTAGCAGAGCTGGAAGAGAGCAGACTTGCAGCCCACAGCTCCAGCAGAGCAGAGGGAAGCCTAAGCACTCTGACACAGCTGTCCAAAGGGACCCACCCCAGAGACAACCAGAGAAGGAAGTTTCCTGCGGACCTTGGTCACTCCCTCTTACTTATTTTGGTTTGGATTTTCCCACCAGGGGAAAATCCTGGACTAAGCTTATGGGGGTGGAAGGTGAAGGAGAAGGGAGGGCAAGAGGAAGAGACCCAGGGAGGACAGCCTTAAGCAGCCTTGGTTGCCAGACTACTGGTAGCCAAAAGGGCCCTGGGTTGGAGCCCCATTGACTGGGAAGGCCTGGGCTCCCCTCCCCACAACCCCCTGGGCAGTCAGGGGTTGTGGCCATGACCACTAGGCCACACTTCCCAACTGGACCCCAAGTGAGGCGCATTACAAGGGGTGAAATTCTCCAACTATGGACACATGGGATCCTGTTTATAAGTGAAAATCAACACCTTTAACATCTCCTTGATGTTAGCGCAGATCATAACAAGATACTACATGCTCTAAGCGGACTGACACATTATATGCCAGCTTCAGTTTTGGATGGTTTTAAAATGTAGTCCCATATAGAGCATATTGCAGTAAGTAACCTTGAAGACAACAAAGGCATTCATCACAGCAATGATAATAATACCTTGCACTTTTCTGTAAGGATCTCAAAGTATTTCATAAATATTAATAAGCCTAAGTCAAACAACTTCCCAGTGCTTATGGGTCCTTGCAGACAGCATATTTGATGGGCCTTAAATCTTCCATTTGGTGTGAGTGAAACTAGTGACACTTCATTCCTCTCTTTAGAAAATGCAAAGCAGGTTAGACACAGAAACATGCAGAATGCCCCAATTGCCCATACACGGCAGATTGCCTGGGATGGGCACTGAGGAGCTCCTGGGAAGCCTGTCAGGGAAGGAAATCTGCTCAGCCACTCTGTGGGTATTACTCCAGTTTCAGGACCACAGTAAATTGCAGCAGCTGTATGAGCTGTGGCATTTGCATAGCAACAGATCTGCCAATATGCTCTCAAGTTTTGCTGTGAAGCAATAAGTCATTGCAGAGCTGAGTTCTGAGCATACAACGATTGTACAGCCTCTGCCCAGATTCTCCTGGAACAACACTGGCTCCACTATCGACAGTACTCTCCATCCCCACAGGAAGAGGAAGGAGTTGTGAACACATATGTTATATTAAAATAAATTGTAAGGCCAAGTATATTAAATAAAATTGAGGTGAGTAGAACGTGGGATCCAGGTGTTTAAATCAGTGCACCACTTACAGTAACTAGCCTGGCATGCTCTATAATATAATACAAAACCTTTTTTTTTTTTTGCAGGTGGCTCCAATGTTTCTCCTGGAGTTGGTGCATCATGTGTTTTCCCTCAGGGCATTCAATTCATTGAGACAACCTTTCCTGATGCAATGTCCAGGTTCACAACAGACTTCTTAATGCTATATGCTTTCCTACCCGCACTTGTCATTCTAGCAATTGTGAGTTTTAAAATAAGAGATATAATTATTGTCAGGCAATAACAACATTAGGAATTCTAAACTGGCTGTACAGTACTATATACCAAACCTTGCAGTATTTGAAAACATTATTTGGGCAAAGTAGTATCCATCATTTTGTTGTCTTTCTAAATTATAGTAAGTGAGGAGTGAATTACATTCACACTATTCATATATTTTTTCCTTTCAGTTAACAGTTTTAACTCGTGTTGGAAACAACATGTTAAATACTATGAACAAAACAGTAAACACTTAAAACTAAAAATTTTATATTTTTTTTTAATTCACAAAAATGTTTTAACATATTTGTAAGTGCACTTAATAAAGAGGTGCAGACACGGGAACAAATGTTATTTGCTTTGTTAGGGATTATTCTTGCAAGCTTGATGACCAAGGGGCACAGCAATATTTCCTCTAACAGCTGCACCTCACCTTTCACCCCCCCTCAATAAATAATGTTAAAATATCAAAGCATAATGTAATAGACATGGTAACTCAGTTGTGTGATAGGACTTCACTTCGGTCTTCAAGTTATTAATGCAAAGGGTGGAACTAAGATACTATAAAATTTGCACAGTCGAGTGTGAAGTAAAGTGAATGTCTGTGAATCTGTATATAAATTTAAGCTCAGAAATTGTGAAATTGCTCAGCACCTGTGACCAAATATGTAACATATAATAAACTATAACATTCCGAGAATGAAAAATTCATGTTAGATCATCCTGCCCAGCCCCTTTCCAGTTCAGCATAGTTCACCAAGAAATTTTCTTATGTGCTCCAGCCCAGTGGTTGTTCAACTGTTCATTTTTGTGGTAAGATGACATACCTCTCATGGGCCACCTCTTGTCTCAGTACCTCAATCCTCTATTGCTTGGTTCTCAAATATTTCATCCTGCTGATGGACAAAAGGCTGAGCTTTACTGGTTTATGTTAAGTTGTACTGTCTCCATCAATGACGTTTCCATCTTTTCAAATTGCACTAGAAGACTATGATATTGAACATTAGGAATACTTTCCTACCATTAATCTAAATTTCCTTTTATTAATGCACACAAATATCCCACAATCTGTGTATGGAGAGGTGGGGACTTATATTTACTGATAGTTAACACCTTTATTAAATTAGAGCATTAAATTTGACAAACCATAACAAACTATCACTTCCAGGATGGGTAGCAGAATGGTTCTCATTGTCCAGAAATCATAACAGTACTCAATTTTATTGGTGAGCAGGAGCCATAACATAGTTCTATGCAGAATGGGTATAGTCTTTGGGAATGTTCTCCTATACAAGATTAACAGAACCTGGTTTTAACTACATTATATCAGGCAGCTTGTATGAAAGTCTCTCTCTTATAGCACTTATCAATTAATGGGTAACTTAATACCTAAAATATGTATCTGCAAACTGGGAAACATCTGATTTTATACACATTATATTTTGTGTACACAGGTACAGCTCTGGGCTTGCAATAACCTGTTTGTGCCCTTAAATGCATATTTTATGTAGGAACTTAAAAAAACCAACAAAACATATGGCCTTAAGAGTCCCATTCCTCATATTTAAACCCATCCATGGGAATAATCTTTTTTAAATTTTCCAAAATCTACTTAAGTTTGATGATCCAGGTTCATTTTCTCACCAGAAAATATTTTCAGTTCACATGATAGTACATGAATTTAACTATTAATTTATAACAAGTTTTTTTTATAATTTAATAATAGATGCAATCATGATATATTAACTGTTTATTTATTGTATATTTGTTATTTGGTATTACATATTTTTCCAATTGTATAAAACACCAGTTTCAATTACTTTGTATAATACTCAAAAATGATGATTGATCTTAACATGTACAAAACATAAAATTAAAATCAGTGTGAGAGCTAAGCACTTATCTCAATCAAGATTCAAACTCCATTTCTTTCCAGGATTTAGAGGCATTTCTCTTATATTGTTCTAGTTCCTAAAACACAAACACATTTCAAAACACTTAGCATGGTACATCCCCAGTAAAATAATAATAAAATGCATACATCTGTAACTTTCCAATCTACCTGCAGTTTAAGGTTTCTAGCTATGTTTCTAAATCATACATTATCACAATTTGAAATAGTACAAGAAGAAATTTTGATCTTACTAAAAGTAAAAATGTTTAGCTTTAGAGGCTGACTAAGTTGCTGTCAGGAGAGAGAGCGAGATGTGATTTCCTCTCCTAGCTATTCACTTGCCAGGCCAGGACAGGCCAAGCCCCAAGTTGGAAGCACTGTAGAGACATGGAAATTTGCCACTATCTATTGAATATTCTTTAACTTTATTGCTTTGTTTGTGTCATAGAGCCCTAGATTACAATGGCAAAAGTAGTTTCTTATGCACGGTGTGCCAAATTCAGGACTTTATCCATTCCAAGCAGTGAACTGTGTACAGGGTACTGTCCATGAGAATCCTATGTGGGAAAGAAGCCATGTCACAGAGATTACTTTTACACATGACTGAAGTAATCCCTCCACAGCCCCAAAGCACTTCAATTGGTGGGGGTGGGATAAGGTTGCACACATGTGTGTGGAAGACCAGCTGAGTCACAAAACAATTAATCCACCCTTTTACCCATGCTAATTCATCAGGATCCTTTACCAAGCTGAAGCTTCACGGGGTGTGTGCATTCCCTCCAAATCAAGCCCTTGGCCTTCTTGTACGAGTTGTTCTGCTAGCAATAACTCTGTGGCCAGGGAGATGTAGCTAGATTTCCCTCTTCATTAGTATGCTCTATTTTGACCAGAAAGTAGTAGCCTGAAACATTTCTTAAAAGATCACAAAGGATTTATTTGACATGTGTACAGGAAGATTCTTCCCTCTACATTAATTTATTTTTTAATCAGCTATTCTGAATAATCCCTTTATGGGAATGAGATGTATACACCTGAATGTAAAAATAAGCAAAAACTAAAGAGGTAGCATTTCAGGAAGAAGTAAATCCCAGTCGGTACTGGGAAATCTTTAGGAAAAAAGCTTTGAGGAAAAGATTATTAAGAGCAGCAGTAAAAGTTGTTACTGTGAAGATATTAAAAAGGCAGGCACTTAGAGGCAATCACCACTACAGCATAAAGAACAATAGCCGGGTAGACAGATGGACCTACATGACCTTATTCCATCCAAAAATGTTACTATGAATTTTGATGCATATAAAAAGCTTTAGAAACATTAGCAAACAGCAGTTTTATCTTTTAGTTTCATGCAGTGATGCGTACCGTATGGCATCATAGTTCTTAAAGATTTATGAGCTGAGTTATTTCAAAGTCACTTCTTCTTTACATACACGACTCCAAGTTAGCTAAAGGATTGTATTATTCTAATTACAGCCATATAATTTTAGGTCTATGGTTATCTACTGTTTGCAATTTCAAAGATCAGTTATCCACCTGCTACTGCATTAGAGTGGCATGTTTAGCTACACCACACAGAAAAAATTCATTATGCTGGAAATTCCCATTTGCGTTTAATTAGTTTACATGAAATTTTGATATAGCACAGTTATAACTCACCAAACCACTGTAGTATTAGTTTTTAGACAGCAAAAAGACCTTCCTGCTATGTTTTCAAGGAAATACACTCTGTATCTGTGTTTTATGTTACAACTCTAATGTGAGGATAGCTGCTTGGAGTCTGAAGCAGGAAAGTCAGTGTAATGGCTCCCCTTTCTTGACTAGGATCTCTTCTGAAACTAAATGCCCAAGCCACAAGGAACCAAAAATCTACTGAGCCTTACCTCCCACGCAATCCTACTGCAATCAATGGGGTTGAAAGGGCTGCAAGTCAAAACAGATTTTTGTGCAAGCTCTCCTCATAGCTTAAGAATTCATGCAAAGGCAGTTGGTATGGCAGTCTATTAAAGGCAGCGTCAAGTAAGATTCTCAGCTGATTTAAACTGGCATAACTCCATAAACTTCAAGAAAAAGATGCTGATTTGCAAGAGCTGAAGAGACAGCCCTTCTATTTAAGTGAATAAGGGAACTTATTTTAAGTCTAGCAGGCCTGTTAATAATCAGGACTCACTAGTTTAACATGTTTTAAGAAGAAAAACAAAATAAGGCAGAGAGAGACAGAGAGTGCACTGGATTTCAGGCATCCTTTCTAAAACCAGATAAAGGGATAGAACAACAGTGCTAGAAACCTTTGCAAATTCCAGAGCCAGTCTGCAGGAACCACAGTTCAGTAACTCTTGTAAATGTGATTGGGGGTTGGGGAGTTCCAGTAGCTTGTGAGGATGGGTGGGAAATCAGAGAAAAAAAGGTGAACACAAACCAGTGATTAGTATGAGTACTGAGCAAGTGTCATATGATTGCTATCCTGATTTTAATGGTATGGACTAGATAAAACAATAGATGTTTCACAGGAGTTATTAAGGCAAATTGACATGAAAGCCACACTTGTTTGTGTTTAATAGAAATGATGGTCATGAGGCTTGTGGAGAATAATAGGAGACATAAGCTAAAATGATATAGGAATGGAGAAGATTTGTCCTAAAAAGGGAATATGGAAATAAAATATGAAGTAAATACATGCCCCTTTTGAGGAAAATGTACAACCTCAGAGTCTTGAATCTTCTTTTAATATAGATTTTTAAAGCTATTTTTAGTGGTTAAATCAAATGTTATTTCAGTACAACCTAACTAATCTGTACACCTGATAAAGTCACACAACCAAAAATTCTCTCTCCATACTTACCAAAGCCAGCATCTTTCATTATCAAGGGAGCCAGCATGCTGTCTGATGCAGATTCTTCAAACCCTTTGTTTTCCTGAAGGTTTGAGGCATTTTCCAATATCTTCAGGAAAATAGGTTTGTAGTAGTATTTTATAGTGTTTTGTAAGAAGGGGTGCTGCCATTTGCTTACCCCAAAAAGTTTTTGAAGATAGTGTCTGATTTTCAGGGAGGTGTTCTGTGTGTCTGATATTGGTTAAGCCACATGATCTCCATTTGCTTCAGTTAACCACTGTAGTTTTTTTTAAATCATATTCTTCTAAGAATCAATGGTTCAGATCTATTTATCATTTAGGTACTTTGGCCCTGATCCTTAAAAGGTATTTAGGTGCCGCCCTCCCTCTTTAGGCACCGAAGTCTATAATTTAGGTGCCACTGACATTTTCAAACCTACGGCTCAGCTGCTGCCTTAACCCTGTACCTTGGCTGAAAACTCTACTGGGCAGCAGGCTGCCTATGGGCTAAGGGTCAGTGTTAAGAGGAGCTACACCTAAGTATCTTTAAGGAACTGGGCTTCCCTGGATTCCAGTCTATTGATTTAGTCACCAGGCCAAGCCAAATAGTAAAGTGATGTTAACTGTAAAATATTATTTATACAGATATATCAAAATACAGCATGCAAAAAATTAAAAACACATGATGAAAGAATCCCAGAGTCAAGTGTTAAGTATTAAGGCCCTTGTAATAAGCCATTTCATGATAAGCTAAGCACCTTTCCAAATAAATTAATGAGAGTCATCAAGATGCACATTTGGAAATCCCTTGAATACAAGCAAACATTACAATATAAACCTAAAAGCTATTGGCATTTTATGCTCAAATCGCTAATTTCTAAGTACAGCTAACACACATACACAAGTCTCCATTATGATGGCACAACACTAGTATTTAAACACTCACTACGTATTCAGGAATTACAGCAACAGAAAATTCAGGGTACCCCATGACCTTCAAAGAGATCAATCCTATACCCCACACCTGGGGTGACCTTGAATAACTATACTGAGGTAAAAATTATAGTGCTTTTCTGCGCTAGGATTTTACAGAAATGGCTATCTCAAGTTACCTATCGTGATGTAAAAAACCACAACATTTTTGCGGTGAAGAAAAAGTCTTAGAGCTTCAAGTGTTGTTAGATAATGCATGCCTCTTCTATTGTGAAGAATTAAAAACCCATGGACTATTATAACAACCAAACTAATGCAACAGAACCTTGATAATTTGAACTAGTGACTAAGAGACGCATTGGAAATGTAAGTCAGTTTTGCAAACTAGCAAGTAAGTGAACAAATTTTAAAAGTACTCTGTTCCGATATTTTTGTCAACAGATATTTAGCTTTACCTAATTATAACTACAATTAACAGTAAACTTAATAAATGTAAAGAATATTTTGTAAAACTGATGAAATACCTCTGTGCAGAATCTGCTACTAAATCTTTGCTGAGTTGTGAGAAGATTCCACCAATGGCTCTGTGGATATGGGGAAAGCGGAGGACATGATATATCTTGACTTTAGCAAAGCTTTTGATACGATCTCCCACAGTATTTTTGCCAGCAAGTTAAAGAAGTATGGATTGGATGAATGGACTATAAGGTGGACAGAAAGCTGGCTAGATCATCAAGCTCAACGGGTAGTGATCAATGGCTCGATGTCTAGCTGGCAGCCGGTATCAAGCGGAGTGCCCCAGAGGTCGGTTCTGGGGCCGGTTTTGTTCAAAATCTTCATTAATGATCTGGATGATGGGATGGATTGCACTCTCAGCAAGTTCGCAGATGACACTAAGCTGGGGGGAGAGGTAGATATGCAGGAGGGCAGGGCTAGGGTCCAGAGTGACCTAGGCAAATTGGAGGATTGGGCCAAAAGAAAACTGATGACGTTCAACAAGGACAAGTACAGAGTCCTGCACTTAGGACGGAAGAATCCCATGCACTGCTACAGGCTGGGGACCGACTGGCTAAGTGGCAGTTCTGCAGAAAAGGACCTAGGGGTTATAGTAGAAGAGAAGCTGGATGAGAGACAACAGTGTGCCCTTGTTGCCAAGAAGGTTAATGGCATATTGGGCTGCATTGGTAGGAACATTGCCAGCAGATCGAGGGAAGTGATTATTCCCCTCTATTCGGTACTGGTGAGGCCACATCTGAAGTACTGCGTCCAGTTTTGGGCCCCCCACTACAGAAAGGATGTGGACAAATTGGAGAGAGTC